ATTCAGTCTTCTTCGTTTAGCTTGATAAGTTTGCGTTTAAAGCAATAATTGCTATAATTCTGCATTGAAGTTTCGGCTTTGTATTTAACTTCAGATTTTGTTCAAATTCTGTAATCATTTCTTCCAATTTCCTTCAGTCTGTAAGTGCATGCTTTTTTTTTTATATAGAAACATTATCTGGTCTACCAAACCTTTCTTATTATATATATAGAAGATCTTTTTGTATGAAAAGTTTTGTCTGGTAATAAAAATCAGAAATAAAATGGAAACATAAAAACAAAGAAAATTTCCTAGTGTTTAATGTCGAAGTATCCTCGTATGTCACTAAAAATTATATCGATTCTTTGTATATATATAAAGAATTCAGCTAATAAACAATAAGCACTTGAATTTAACTGATTTTTTTAATTATTATTTCAATGATCATTTCCAATAGAAGGAAGGTATTGTACCCTTTAGGAGTGTTGTTAACCATATTTGTGCAATGAAATATACACGATTTAAATAATTGGATGAATATATTGACTTATTGTTTCGATAACGCGATTTCTGAATAGAAAGAATTGTTGTGAATTATCTCGTTTTTACATTTGTTTTTTACAGGTCCTTTATAGCTTACCAAGTACAACATTGTTTCCAGCCGTTTGATGATCTACAATCGTTACACTATAGCTTTTCACTTATTCGTCTTGTTAGTATTTGTTGTTGCTTCATATGGTAATCATATCGCATCTCTTCATGCATTTGCAATATATTTTTATTGGTAGAAAATATAGACTACAGTGAACAGAAAACTATAAAACTTATTTTTCTAGAAATAAAATAAAATCGAAACTTCACACAACCTGCACGGACAAAACATCTTGGCTTTGGACAAGTAAAATTTCTGTAAACCAATGAATTTCATGTTATGGATGGAAACATGATTATAGTTGAAAATTGTATAAGGAATGATAAAATTCGTACAGCTAGTTGTTGAAATACTTGATTGCAGATATATACACATATAAACTACTCTAACATAAAATAATATTCCTTCGGTTTTAATTTGTCGGTCGGATGGACTTTGGACTCACAGTACTTGTCCACCTAATGGTAAGGGTTGTTTTTGATAAATCACATACTTGAAAAACTGACCCGTGATAAACCGCTGTTGATGAAGTATTTGCCGAAGTGACAATTCATCGAGGCTCAAGAGCATTGCCACTATGTCTAAAGGTTTTCCACACAATCTCATCCATATAATGCTGGTATGCACATCTACGCCCCTCTTAAATGATAAAGATGAAAACTAGACCTGGTATGGTCTAAATTGGACCGCTATTTTAGTAAAATGTGACTTTGCACATTTTTTAAAGTTCAAAATGTAATGTACGTTTCCCAATTAAAGCTTAAAAAAGAAATTAAAAAAGAATAACTGTTTAGAAAAAAGATTATCGGGACAATGCTCAATTGAAACAAAATCAGTAAATACTAAGAGTTTTGATACATGCTGTGAATTATTTAACTTGATATAAAAAAAAATCTTGCAGTTAACTACATTTGTTCAGATATATATATAGCTTCTTATGAAAATGTCAAAGATAAGAAAATAAAGATTAATTATTTCCTTTTGACATTTAATGGCAAGGCAAGCAAAATCTCCTTATACTTATGAATTATATATTACGCCATTGTAATTGAGTAACTAAATCTTGTGGTAATTGTACGAGAACAATAGACAAGTCATAAAATTATCGGATTATTTTCTTTAGTAATTGATCCTTTCCAAGTGATTTTTTTCTTTTCTACAGTCTTCCTCAGCTGGAAGATGTCATCAACAGAAGAATATGACTTAATACACTGATTATATTCCGTGACAAGTGGAGGGCCACCACCATAATCGTTATTATAAGGCATGTTTTGTCAGAGTCTTGCTGGGTTCTTGCTGTGCTTTTCGGTATTTAAGCTAAATTCGACGTCCAGATAATGGCGGAAGAAGAATCGCGAGACAGAATGTAGTGATTCGCACCATTCATAAATTATGAATACTACCCAATTATCAGTAAAATAACAATATGTGTCATAGAATTACTTTTCGTTTTTTCTCCTTTCTTTTTGTGATTGACATGCTTATACCTGTCGAAATTGTTGACAAATATACGTAAACAGTCGTACTCAGAAGAATACAAAGCATTTTTTAAACCGCTTTTTTGTCCATGAGAGCATCTTATTTATCGTGTTTATACTGAGGGCTGATAAAATAAAAGTTACGTGCAGAAAAATTTAAATTCTATGACTTTAATTTAAGTGGGAAAAATGCAATTACATAAAACTCGTTCTAGTTAGCACTTGTCTTGACGTTTTATTTTTTACTTGCGCATAATTTTAGCTTGCTTTTCAAGTTCTGTTTGTCAGTTGTAAACGCGACGACATTGTCAATCAAAGAATCCGCGCTTTACTATGATATTTCAATATTTTAATTTTTTTTTATAATATTTGTTCAATGAACTCCACAGTCATATACTTATGTATAGGGTATTTGAGATAAACTTTTCATCTTTCAATAATCTGCCCAGATAACGCGTTTAGTCATTCTTTATTCATCCTGTACTTCGTGTATACATCATAAAACATTCAATATGGTGGATTTTCAAATCATTTAAGCATATTTTTGGTGTATTTTGTGTTTTCATTAAATTGCTCAAAATATATTATAAGAAAATATAGATCTGTGTGTTAGCTCATATAACAAGCATACCAAGATTACAGAAGAAAACTATGAACTTTATTCTGCCTTACTCTGATACTATGAATTTTCTCTCATATCTTGAGTTGTTTTAAAGTCCCTTTTTACTCATCTTTATTCAAAGATAATTTAAACTTTATTATATTACATAAAAATAAGGAGATGTGGTATGATTGCCAATGAGACAACTATCCACCAAAGTTCAAATGAAGTGATGTAAGCAATTATAGGCAAACGTACGGCCTTCAACAATGAGAAAACCCCATGCAAACCGTATAGTAACTCATTTTATTGAAAACATGGTCACATGGTAAATTTAAATGACGCATACTGTTTTATGCTTTAGCACCGTTTTTATGGAAAAGACTTCATCGCGAATGTATATAACAAAGACAAAAAGATAAATAAACAAATGTTTTTCAATACCAAAAAAAGCCGAATTAGTACAGCCAAATGATATCTTATTTCAAGAAAGATAATAAACCGATGCTTGTAAAAATTCATAAAAGAATGAATAAAGTGATAACTTGTAATTGATAAAAAAAAATTCATGCAATAAATTATGTCAATAATGATCGAAATATGTAATCAACAAACAGAACATCAAAAACAGAATTATAGAAAAGAAATTGCAAAATCGCAATCTACTTATATTCAGACGGGTACATAAAAGCCAGTTAACAACACATGTATTTATATTGGCCTTTCTAAATCTATGTGTCCCCCTTCTAAAAAAAGAGAGAAAAAAACAGTTCGACTGTCTTTTTCTCAAATATACACTTATGGTGGTGGATTAGTGTTAGTAGCACATTATCTTATTGTTGTCATAAATTCACCAATTATGTTCTAATTATGTATAAACAAAAGACTTGCATTTGTCATTATATCCTATAAGTGGATACGTGTACTGTATGTTGTCGACTTTACTTATGTGAACACAGAATGTATAAGGCAGCAACCAAACGACACAAAAAAAATCAGAAGATATTTAGATGTTAACATGCGGTCTTCAACCGTATATTCTCCCAAGCTTCACATCGCACGAAGTTTAAAGATTTATAAAGAGAAAGGGTTCTATTTTAACAGCAGAGATTGTTGAACCATAGAGCCATGGCTATTATTTCAATGGTTGAACATTACATAGTCATATATACATCGACATCAACCCGTGACATGAATTTGACTATGTTTCCTAAATATATGAAAAACACGTCTTCATATGAGAAGTTAATTACTGCAGCCACGTTTTTTAAGCATTTTTTCTTTTAAAATGACATTGCAAAAGCACGCCCTTTTATGTGTTATTCAGAAAGGATAAAAAAGTGACACGGTCATGAAAGTGTGATAATATTTCTCCTTGAAAGATGTAAGTTAGAATTAGGATACAAGATCTTACCTTAATCTTAATTTTCATAAACACCCAAGTGGCAGATAAAATTATGCAAAGCAACAGACTAAATTAAATAGAAAGTTTAATTCAATATCTTAAATGAATTAGATGAAAAATCTATTTTTTTGTAATTTATTGCTGTTGTCAACAAATGCGAATTGTATTGGTTTACAATTCATAAAAAAACTCGAATACTTATCACATCAAATTATACTGATCACACAGTAAAGGCCACACAGAAATTCTGATGTTTTAGGATTTTTTGCTTGAAATGATTGACAAGTTTAGATTAAAAAAATAGAATAACAGCATCGATTTACAAAAGTTTCATTAAAAGATATATTCGTAAACTGGTTCTATGGTAAAAATTATATTAGGAGGGGACGTCTTAAAATGTCCAATTTTTACTAAAGACCAAACTACAGGCAGATACACATTAACAGAACTTGATACACAAGTTTTTTTCAAGTCATGAATGTTTGCAAAATATCAAATTTATATATTCGTTGTGGAAAAGAGAGCACACGTTATGTATAATTTTTGGTTCTTCAGTATAGAATTTGGGGGCGTGTAAAGGTACTATAAGATGTCACGGTGGCATTTGTATTATATTGCACGTTATTGTGTGTTTGATTAATTTAAATGACATGATCTATTTTAATGTTTTATATTTTTTTCACTACGATGTAAGTTAATACATGTATTTAACTGAACAAGATCCGGTGTAGTGCTGTATACAAATTATCATTTTAACTTCTCTCCTCTTCGAAAAGGACAACACAGCATGAATAATATTTATTCTAATGTCTGGAATGAAACTATTCGAAATTGATAGTTGATTCCCTGGTTTTAAGGTATATCTTTATATAAAAGAACACACAATATTGTATCAATATAATTATAATAATAATAATAATAAATAAATCTGTGTACAGAATTATTTTTATAAATCATCTGTGATATGTGACTAGGTCATTATCCTTGTCTTTGCATGTTATGAATATTGCATAATAGGCATGTGATGAAACGATGGTAACGTAGGTACGGACGGTAAAGGTGGAGCACTTGGTAGGGATGGCACTGAACCCATATTCTGATGTTCTTTATTAACTACAGATGGCGGTATAGTTGACCTTGAATGACACACAAACCAGTCATTTAATTTTTGAATTTCCGGCGCTGATGACGGTGGTTCCGAATTGACTAGTGGTAGATTTGAAACGTCTGGTTTCTTATCCACCGTTTTTTGCACTGTTGGTGAATTCCAGTTAGATTTACTTTTTGCTGGAGATATTGTTTGTGATTCTCCTGCACCACAGGCTGCCATTTCTTCTGCATCTTTTTCCATTGAAGGTGTAATTTCTCCATGAATTTTCATGTGCTTCCGAAGAGAGCTTGGGTGTGTATAACTTTTATCACAACCGCGTACTCGACAGTAGTATGGTTTATCACTGGTATGAACGTGAGAATGCTTCTTTCTATCAGAACTATTAGCAAATCGTCTATCGCATCCCTCGAATTCACATTTGAAGGGTTTTTCACCTGAAATAGATAATGATTGAAAATATTCATTTGCTTTGGATTCATTTATTCTGATAGTTATAGTTAATAGCTCCTCTTTGTATATTTGAATTTAAGGCAACAGAAAAGCACGTTCACGAGAGGTATGATCAAAGTTTTATAATTTAAACCCCCCCCCCCCTCCCACCCCACGAAAAATATATGTTATATTAAAAAAAATACAACAAACGCATACGAATGAAAACGATAAATAATCGATGCGCCTTTTAATTAAACATTCTTAAAATATATGCAATGTTTTGCGTATATCCCAATTATTTGTCAATGTGTATCCTAACGCATATCCAAAACAAAAAAGTTTTACTCAGGATTATGAAAAAAAATGAAAGAAACTAATAACCATAGGTATAATTCAATAGAAGATGTTTAGTTTATAAAAAAAGTTGAAATTATATAAAGAATTATTGCATAGGAATTTCATATGTTTACTTAAAAAGGGGGTTTTGTAATAAATAGATAAATAAATTAATTAATTTAAACATAAAAAAATATATTTTCTGTATTTTTTTAAATTTTCTGACGTCTTAATTGTTCACTTCGACAATCTTCTTAATATTTTTTATTTGTTCGTTTTACAATGTATTATAATATAGCTATAACCTTATTTGTTCTGATTATTATCATTATGGTTAAAAAGTGGGTAGGTTTATATGTCATTGAGACAGCTACTTAAAATACAAAACATCCAGTGTTATATATTTCACAAACCTTGTTAATGCTGCTTCTTAATTTATTAATTTTCAAAGTAATTAATAAACTTTTATATAATAATATATAACAAAAGAATGTTTAGATTTTTAGAAATTGAAAAATAAATGACCAAAAAGATAATGCACAGCAAAAATGAAGAAATGACAATTTATTGGAAATAATTCTTCAATATTGTGTTTCATCCCAGAAATTACGATTAACTGATTTCTTTTACAACTAGATGATTTGAGAAAGCCCGTCGGGGAGAATTAAACGGCCTTTACTAATTCCCATATGACCTTTTAAAGGAAGTGACCAGTTTGGCTCATTACATATATAATTCCCTGATTACTTTAACTCTTCTCGCAGTTGGTCTTACGTATTCTTAAGCAAACTTTGACACTCCCGCAGTGAAAATCTTGACAGTGTGTAGTTGAATTTTTGGGGATAACCGCATGAACGAACAGATAAGAGATATTTCACAAAAACGGTTAATGAAGAAGTCACTGTAGCAAAAACGATACTTACATAAAATTGATTGGAATTTTATCGGAGTATAATATTCTACTTAACATGTATAAACCGCTGAGAAAAGTTGTTGTTTTAAGCATATTTAGCTGCAATGGATTTATATTAGAAAACATCTTAGTTTGAAACAGCTGTGCAAAACCTAAAACTTTGACACATACCGAGATTAACCCTTTCAGATTATTGACGCGAAAATCTATTGAACTGATTTCTGAATTAGGAAACCGATGAAAACCGGGATTATTTGAAATGATTACAAAAAGGAAATAGATAACCTTTTGTTGATTATTTAATAAATCATATTTAGAAAATATCCGATAGCCATTTTGACCAACTTGAATCCACAAGATATTATTGACAAAAACGTAAATAAATGGAACCAGATTTTATAAGTTTTTATAAGTGCATTAAAATTTACAACTAGTTGAAGATGTTTTTTTTTTAGCAGCAATTGTTTACACACAATTAAGCTGAAGCGTTCATTTTAACAATATTGTGTTATAGAACAAAACACCATAAACATATACATAAGTTAAGGAATCGAAGTGTTATACCATATAAATGCACTTGTTCCTAAATGCATGTGTCATTCAATTTTAAATATATAATATCTTTTATGAAAAATAAATAAATATGGATCGAAAACTATGACCATCATTAAAATATATGTATGATAAAAGATAGGTTTCAATATATCTTTGATTTATCTAAAACGGTAAATATTAATTATGTGCAATATTTATAACTAACAATGGACGAATTAACCTTACAATACGTAACAAATATATTTATGATATCGTGAACGTTAAATAATTACAAAATGCTAGTAATCATATTCACAAATTCTGCTTAATATCTTAACTTGAAATCTTCTTTTTTTCAGATCAAAGGTTTTATTTCCCTGTCAAAACCATTTATTACCTCTCGGAGGAATAATGTAAGTAATGATTCTCTCTACAAAGGTTTTTTCTCCTTCATAATTTAGAAGGGACAGTTTCTCAAGGTAATTATTTTTCAATACATAACACATCATAATGATTTAAGCATCTGTCAAAAGGGAGAAATGTACATGATTTACATTTTTGTGATAGTAACGGCAAAATGTGCATGTTCTCTCTAAAATATATTTCTTGATGAATATTTTGAAATATATGCTTTTAACAGTATATCGTCAATTCCTTAATTGAGACATGCTAATAGTGAACGAACCATTAAGACGAACTTTTGTGTCCTTCTAATGATTTTGCCATCAAAAAGTGAAACGGTGTGAAATTATAAATATTTATTATGATATAGATCTGAGTCTTTTAGAACGTTTGAAATAGAAGCCAGATACGGCTCAATTGTAATCCGGTACATACATATGTTTTGCACGTTTGTGGAATATTTTTCTGCTAAGTATGTGTAACAATTAAATGATGTGAAGAATAATAAAAACTAAAAAATATAAATACACCTTTCTGTGATTTTTTAAACATAAAGTTATATATTTGTTTCACCAGAAAGTTAAATTTATAACATATCCAATTTAAATCCCTTTTCTTGTCTTTTTGCTTTTTTTTATATAAACATAGACCTGTAGAATTTCAAATTATCAGGAAAGTCTTTAATTATAATTCAATTGATAAAAATCTTAGAAAGACTTTTAATATTTCCTTTTCCTTTAGAATGTTTCCAAACCGTCAAGCCACTGCGATATCTTTTATACTGTTTTCCTTTAAAGTAAATATTTATAAGAGAATAACGAGTTATTTATTAAACAGTTAAATAGCTTTGTTATCAGTTTTTGTTAAAAAATATATATTATTTTTGTAATTTTCAAAATATACGAGACAGTTTTTTTCATTCTTACCCGTATGTATTCGTTTATGGATCTTGAGATTTTCAGACCTGGCAAAAACTTTTCCACATCCCGGAAACGGACACGGAAATGGCTTTTCTCCGGTATGAACTCTAATATGATTGACCAGTTTATATTTTGCTTTAAAAGGTCGTCCTTCTCGCGGACATTCTTGCCAGAAACAGGTATGACACGTCTGCTCCGGTCCTCCAACATGCTCTATAGTTATATGGTTCACAATTTCATGCATCGTGTAAAATACTTTATTGCATGCCTTTTTTGGTTCTTGTTGGTCTTGGTCAATCCATAAGCACGTGCGTTCTTGCTTTATAGGAGGTCTAATGTATCGAAAAAAGGACGACGATCCATTCGGAAACATGTTCATGTGATTAAGGAAAGATTGTTGCGAATGATCATGATACTGCTCTGAACGAGGTAATGAATTGTATCCAAGCTGATCACCACGGGAATACATGTCACTTGTATGTCCAGGAATATTAAAATATCCAGATTGTGGAGGCACATTTTGGCGTGAGCTGTGGTAAGGTGAAGCTTCGTGAAGACCCTGAAGTAAAACGTGTGTGCTAACATCTTGGTGATGATGATGGGAGGGATATCCAGAAGAGGAATGAAATAGCATTCCGGACGTCCGAGATGGAATATTGGTATCATTCATGGATCCATGCAATCCAAATTCAGAACGCCTTAAAAACAAGTCCCTGGAATTTATATTGTTAACATTAGAATATGCACCCGTATACCCATTTGCTTGAGTATTGTAATAATTATATTGTTGGTTCTGGATCATACTTCCTTCCGGGTGACCGTAACTGACCCCTGGTGGAGAAATATGCTGGGGGTCACTTCTATCCATGAAAGATGCAATCATTATTAAGACAATTTTCCAGTTTATTTGTCTATTTACAAAAGCTTAACTGTAAACATGCAGAGCTGATTCTTCAAGAACAGGTGATAGTTTGTTAAATTTCTACATTTCAACACTTTACACTTGTTATTTGGCGCTGTTAATGCTTAAACTGATATGTTTACAATCTATATGAATCTTCAATCAATGTTTTCAGACAAGCCGTTTTCATGGTGAGCACCCTGTCATGCTGTCACGCCTTTCTCGCAAGCGATTGGATGAAAATCATCTCTTCCACAGAATCGGGATTGTGTATCGGTAAATCATATATCAAGTTTATGTGATGTTATTGATATATATGAGATATCCCATAATGTTATTTCAAATAAATAGTATTCTTTCATTTCCCGAATTGTTAATGGTAGTTTTATTACCATGTATAAAAAAAAAATGGAAAAATTATGATGTTTTATTAAGAATATTTTTTTCATAACGTACATATTATTTTATCAAGTTGTATAAGTTTATGCAGTTGTTCCCTGCTTATGGCCGAAAAAAGATAATAGTTACATCGGGAAAACATATCAAGACGTGTATTTGTTACATTATTTTTACCGATTATATACTCAGTTGTACTGAGACATTTACACTTAGTTTGGTTATTTTTTTATACAAAACTTAGTGATATTTTTGTTGTTGTTGTTCTTTCGTAAAAGTATATATAATTTTTTATAATCATTATAATAATATTATTGATACTTTTTTAAAATTATTTTATCATCATTGGTTAATTTTTATGCATTTTTATCTTAATATATAGTTTTAATTTTTTTATTTGCTATTTTCTTATAGTCCAACACTTAGGGTAGCGGTTAGGATATCCTAGGTCAGATAATCCTAAGAGAGCTTCGAGTATTCGGACAGTCTTACGTCCATTCTAGATGTCATAAGATAAGTCTGAGGACAGGCCCCAGATCTTTTGTGGGTTCAGTCCTTTGATGAATTTATTGCCGATTTGAATATTATTCTTGAATCTGAATTCCAATTAAACATCATTTTTAAATCACGATAAAAAAAAATCTTCCGCAATTTTATCTTATTTCTAGAAATGATGTCGTTTGTCCTACCTAGGAGTTTCCCTAGGCAAAAGTTTTATAATTCAAACAAAGTCAGTTATTGGAAAGTTAACTGTTTTTAAACATTAATTACCGCTCTATGTTTGAAATTAGTTTTTGCTTCTGTACAATTCCATGACGGTACATTTAAAAAAAAATGAAAAGATGTACCAGCATACTGAACAAGTCCACAACTTTCAAAAGAAAATTTATTGTTAACTGAAAAGTCAGAAAACTCTATAAAGACAAACGTGAATACCGTCTAAACAAGGGTTGTCTCATACAACCTCCTTGGTCTAAACGTATACAGATTTCAGTCCATGATTCTTAATATTTTGGTAATAATTGTCAAGAGTCAATCAACGTTTGATTTAAAATGATCAAGGCCCCCTTAGTTTGCAATTACAAAAAGTGAGGTATATCCAAAAAGTTCAATCAGTTACAGCATTTAAATATTTGAAATTATTCTGTCAATGAACTGAGCATATATAGATGAAAATTAGAAATTGCAGAAATGAATACGAAAGTTCCCTTAGACCACCATGCTTATTTATTTGTTCAAGTTTAAAGTAAATTATTTAAGGTATACAGAGTTCCTTAAGTTTCCGACTTTTGTATACATAAAAAAAAGAGAATTCCGATGGACAACCGTTAAAAAATAACGTATAAACACATTTTTAGATTATATATGCATATACACACTATGTATAAGAACATTAAACGGTACTAATTGTACTGCATTAGATGCGCGTGTGGATAAATGTTTTCATTTTAGTTCCTCTTGTATTTTTGTGGATATGTTAGCGTATTAAATTGAGAAAGCATTGATGAAACGACCTCTGAACTACAAAGATTTACCCTTTATTAGTTAATTTTTTCTTAACAAGTTATTTCGTTTTTCCCTTTATTTCAGTTTTACCGTACTGACCAATAATAAGGCACCTGTGTGCATAAATGTACAACCGGTTTTATCGACAATCGTTTAGAGACTTGTTTTAAAACACGGAGGGGTTCTCTATGGTCTGCTCTCAAAGAGCAATTATCGTCAATTCAAAATTCATTATGCTCTCTCACACAACGGGTGTTGTTTAACTACATTGACTTCCCATGAGGGTCTCGCACGATCGGGAGCATGGGAATGTTCCACCATTGGTTAATAAATGATAGGTCTGGGCTTTTTTTAACTGAAATTGACAAATTTTGATACAGAAAATAAATTTAAAGTACTTTTCGTTTAAATGGGGATATTTCTATCCGTTTTTTTCTTCTTCTTCTGGTAATAAGTTTTAACAAATGCAAAACAAATATATTTTGAATCATTAAATATGTAAAAAAATGAATTATAAGGGATGACAACTTCGATAATTTAGTTCTAAAATATAGATCATACCATTTATCTATTATATTTTGTCACAAAGAAAGGAATAAGGTGAAATCCTTCTTTCTTTTGTTTTCTGTAATATTATTTAGAAAGAAATACCCCGGTATAGTCTAGTATTTTATTTCAAAATCTCATACACATATAGTATCCTAACAAAATGTAAAAACATTGTATAACCAGTTACTTCAAAAGAAATGTGGTGGGGAATAGTTTTTTCCTCAGTTAAAATAGCATATTGGTGAGATTTTAAAAAAGCTAAATAATAGCACAGATCATCTTCCCTTATCTCAGTCAAAATTGGTGGTAACAGTCTACCACAACACATTTCAAAAAGTATTTAGTAGAAAGTGTAAATACTGTTCGGCTCATTGTGGGAATAAAATTTCCAAGTGGGATGTAATATCTTCCTGTGGTTTATGTGGGTAGCACGTTAAAGTCTGGCTCAGCTTGTCGATCTGGTGCCATTCTTATAACATCAAGGAATTTAAAAAAAACATAGAATTTAAAATTGAAACTATAAGTCAGAAGAGCATAAGTTACGGAACAAAATAAGCTAAAAATATTGATAGGTTATGGAACTCCTTTTTGAGATATTTGATTTTTTTAAAATGGCCGTAAAAGGCTGACTTGGACTTTTACCTTATATTTAGCAATGGCATTATTTGGGTCTCAAATCGTAAGAAAAAAATCTAGATCTGCTATAATTTTGGTAATGACCTTTTTATGAGCTATTGATGTCTTCTATGAAAAGAAAAGTGGGTGATATGGGTCAAAATATTTTACCCAGTATCGTAGGAAAAAACACAAGGAGTGCGAACATCTAACAAAAATTCCTAAACCTGACATGACTACATCCTTAATGGATTTTGCTCAAACATTGTTGAAATACTGCCTGCTTGAAGTTCAACATCCAGCACAATCATCAATCATATCAGTCATATAATTTTTTTTTTCATTTAGAATCCAGCAAATAAGGCTGCGTGCAGTTTTACATTTTAGGATATTTTGTTGTGCTGACCTATAAAACAAAATTAATAAACATTCCAAAAAAAAATAATCATATTAAGCTTGTCAATAGCAAGTGGCGATTTTATTTCATTTCAGCCACATGTCCATAACGACTTAAATCTCTGACATCGTAAGAAGGAAACGCCAGATTAACCCAAATTTGACAAATTAGATATAAGTATGGTCTTAATTAGCCACACAAAATAAAACACCAATCACATGACTGAATGATAAAACTTATAATTAGTAACCCGTGGCTCCCAGTTCCAATATTAACATATATATGTACAACCCGCGCATGTTCTTGACGGGGGTTCATACATACTTAGTTGATTCAATTAGCAAGTCAATTAAAATTGCATATTCAGTGAATTAAAAATGTTCTGGTATACCATTTCTTTCACTTATTTCAATAATCCATAGGGTTCAATAATTGTATGCAATGGGAACCATCTGACGATGGAACACATTAATATCCAAACCAGATTTTATTAATTAAGTCACCATGATATTTTAAAACTGTGAATGACAGAGCTAAAGATTAGATGCTTATTAGTATGTATCTGTCCCCGGTCCTGGTGAGACGTTGTAGGTACCCACTGTTGCATAACTTAAATTTAGTTCTAAATCGACGATACCAAAATATAATTAATTTGGAATAAAAGCATTTTGTGATTTTTTTTAACATCTTGTGCGTCCACATACAGTGGATTTTTTATTCTGATATTTATTGTCGTTCTGGTTTTTCTAATGATAGAAATACAAACCAGAAAAGGATATAAGTTATCTCCGAATTATTGAGAATTTTTTTCCCGTATATACCTGAAGAGTTATGTGCATTAGATTAAAAAAGTATATATAAAAGCTATCAAATGAAATTAACCTAGTTTGGGTTCAAATCAATCAATCAAATTGAAAGTTCTTTATTTGACTATTAAAAGGTATTTTAGATTAACGAAATTTTTACCTATGTTTGAACCATTATACTTATTTTTTAAGAGCTTACATTGATAAATATGTATACACTACGGCAAACAAAACATGTTATGGTGTGAATTGGGGTAATTTTTCACGACAGTTATCTAGAATCAAAGAGAAAATCGGCCTAGGATTGCTCCAACGTGACAATCTTACACTGCCATGTATTTACCGTACTAGATAAAAGAAACTCATCCTTTAATCCCAGTGCAGATACGAGGTAGGCAAACAGGAATGATGTGTCCGAGGTTTTCAACACACAACTCAAAAATGAATTGATAACAAATGCTATTGATTTCACATTTCATATTCACAATAGATTTCCTAGATAGGACAATTTCTGTTCATTATTTCGAACTACCCTTTTCTTTTATTCATATTGCATTTTAAAAAAGAATCTTCTTCCTCGAACTAAAACTCCATCGATTTTCGATTAAACTGTTTAATTCCTCAATTGATCGGTACTTGTTAAGATATTGTAAGGGGTGAGAAAATCTCTGAAGTTTTCCTACCTGACACGATTTAGGATTTTCTGTGTAGATGAAGGCTTTGGGTGACGGAGAAGTAATCTTCCCACAGTACGAATGATTGTCAACATGATTTCAAGTCAAAATATAAATGTCTCTGGGATTAAAAAAAAAAGAAATTTAAGAATATTGCAAATCTTGCT